ACTTCCATCTCTGCTGGAGGCATCCTCATGTCAAAAAGAAATGTTCATGATCGGGCTCAGGTAGGGAACAATAGGCTGTTTTGGGCAGCACTTCTCATATAACCCAACTCTGTTGCTGAGATGAAAGTTGAAATGAAATTCAACTTTTTCTTTTACTTTCAAAATATTCACACTGTTTAGGCCCTATCCCTTCAGGGAAGTATTTTATATGTTCCTACTGCTCCTGTATGTCTAAGGTATGCAACACCTCTGAGAGGGTCCTGTTGATAACGGACAGTGTTTTAAGGAAACTCGGGAGAGTTAAGCGCTAGTGTTTAGATAGCACAGTACAGTGGGCTCTTCTCATTTAATTCTGACAGCACTCATCTGAAATATTTGTAACAGATGAAGGAAGCTTAGTGAACTCTTTCCCCCTTTCCTGAGGAGGACCTCATATTGCTTTCCTTTTCTTTACAGGTGTTTGTGGATGAGAAGTACATAGGAGTTCTGGACCAATCCAATGATCAGCTCACCCTTCCTGCCAAAAATGTATGCAATTCTGTTGCTGAAGGTCTGATAGTTCTGGTGACAGCCTGGACCATAGGTTCAGTTGCAGATATGGCTGGGTCTTTTGAGGCATCCCTTGCACAGGAAACCTAAAGGGACTAGGGGGAACTGGGTGAATCTCTGAGGTTCAGTGTCTGTACTCCAGGTGAGCATGGCACCACTCCTCCCTCTGATATTTGTTGCTCTTGAAGCCCTCGGTAAGTTATCAGCCCTAATTGACTGTCTAGACAAATGCCCAGTGATTTTCTGTGCGAGAGGGCACTTTCTGTGTCCTCTGGGTGAGGACCGGCAGAAGAGAGGGGGTGAATTGGAGAAGCACACACTTTCCTTAACCACAAGCTAGAAGCTCCAGGCTGGTTCTGGCCCATTCTGCCCTCCTCTTAGTTTCAGGGGGAAACTGGGAAGTCTGTAGAAGGACACCAAGGGGTGCTCACTCTGGCTGGTATGTGTTGGGCAGCACTACAAGAACTCCTGGACTCTAAGTATCCTGGTGGAGAATCAAGGCCGGATCACCTATGGGCTGAATATCAATAGTGCAAGAAAAGGTAGGCTGCTGAAGGGACATGTGGAGATTCAGAGGAACCAAATTTCGGCTGCTCTTGTCCCCCACCGAGGACGGTATGAACCGTTATTCAGTGTTTGGAGAGCAGCGACTTTCAGCCAAGTAAACACTCGTGTGTAGAAACTTTGATTCAGCTTTCCTTTGCTGGGCAAGAACAGTGGGGGTCCCTCATGGGTATTCTGAATGTAAAACTCAGGCGCTGACAGTCGTTTCACCAGGAGAAAACACAGGGAGAGAACTACCCCTTCCAAGGATGCTCGATGCTTTCTTCTCTGGATCCCCAGACTTGCTGTGCTGCCTCTGCCCTGGTGCTTCCTTCTCCTGCCCCAAGTACAGGTGCTTGACCTCCCTGAGAGATAGCGTGAACTGTGTTGGCTAGACCTGAAAGAAAGTTTCATGTTATCTGTGCCCTCAGGGTGGAGGTAAAGGCACTCGGACAGAAAAGTCATTGTAAGCATCTATAGAAACGTTCCCTCTTCAGGGGTAAGCTGGCCCCAGGCAGTGGATATCTCTGCATCCTGCTTACTCCATTCTCCCCCGGCACTAGGTTTAACAGGGAACATCTATCTGAATAACTCACCATTAAAGAAATTTAAGATCTTCAGCCTGGAGATGAAGCCAAAATTCATACAAAGGTGGGTGTCCCACCCACAGAGGGGAGGAAAGAAGAGGGGAGAGACAAGAGAGAGGCCAGAGGGCAGGGAAGAGGGAAGAGGAGGGGATGAGTAGAGGAATGATTAACAAATGGGAGAGGTGAGAAAGATGGAGTAGTGAGCTGGGAGGACAGAGGAGAAGGAAGGCAGGAGGGAGGTGGAGCAGGCCAGTGAAGAGGGAGACAGCAGCACAGAGGTACCTCCTTCCCAAAGGGGCGCCCCAAAGAGAAAACACAAAACAGAACAAGAACCAGCAAGAGGGAAGGGAACAAGAAGGGGTGAACTTGTGAAAACAAAGATTTGTAATTGAGAGTTTCTAAGGACCTCCGTTATCATCAGCCTTACCCTTGGCTTACAGATGAGAAAGACTGGGGGACTAAACTTTCAGGGAATGACCCTAGGTTTCATAGTAGTTTGGGGAAGAGACTAATCTCGTTCACCCTACTGCCAGCCCCACATCTACGATACCCATCATGTGCCGTATAGGCATATGCCGGTGCTCTAGAGAGGACACTGGGTTCTGGCAGGAGATCCCACCCCCACAGTTCACACAGATACATTATAATGAAAGATACGACCTGTCTGCTTGCTGCTTGACTTCTCTCTCAGGAACCTACCTAATCTGTGGAAACCAATCCATGATCACAGTGTGGGCCCTGCCTTTTTCCTGGGTTTCCTGAGAATTGCTAACAAGCCCAGAGACACCTTAATAAAACTGGAGGTTAGTGGAATTTCTTCCCTGTCTAGATAGACCCTTCCAAGCTCCCACCTCAAAACAATCTTTAAGAAAGAACTTCTTGGTAAATGGGTTGCAATTTGCAATTTATGTCAAGGTTTCTAAGCTCAAAAGGACCTCAGCCACCTCAAAGCCATCTGTGGTCTGTCCCTTTCCAGGGTTAACCAAGGTAAGGGTAGAAGTTTATTGAGAGAGAGAGAGAGACCTTCTAATGGGGATAGCTGTAGATGCACTGCATGGGGAATTTAGGGAAAATTATGTACTAGTTAGCAGACATAGTCCCAGAAATAAAGACCCTGAACTAATTTAATGAACGGATCAGCCAGCCTATGCTGGCGATCTTGCCACTGAGATTCCAAGATATACCTGACTTGAGGCAGATCCGTTAGAAATCAGTGCCCTCTTTCCTGACATCTGGTTACTGAGCCAGCCTAAGTTCAAGGACAAGAGCATATAACTTTCTGAGTTACTACCTATCTAGAGGAGCCCTGGTTATGCATTGGGCTGCACTCCAAAAGGTCGGCAGTTCAAAGCAAGCAGCAGCTCCTCAGGAGAAAGACCTCGCCTAAACAGTTACAGTCTTGGAAACTCATAGGGGCAGTTCTACCCTGTCCGCTATGCTCACTACGGGTCAGTATCCACTCCAGGGCACTGAGGTTGGTTTTTTGGTTTGTTTGTTTTTCCTAACTAAGGCTTTGGTACAGGAGCGTGCGAGCCTCAATGAATCTTGCCTTGGATGTGTATCATTTTCTCTCTATGGCAGTGTTTTGGTCTGTTGTATATAAGGTTGCTATGAGTTGAAACTAACTCAAAGGCACCGAACAACAACAACAACATGGTGTGTAAGGTGTGCATGTGTGCACATGTGCCTATGTGTATGTTTTTCAACCCTAGTGTTTTTCTCTCTAGAATTCAGATCCTTAGTCTTCCATTCCAATATTTTCCAGCATTGGACAAAAGGAGTAATTTTCATAAATGGACAAAACCTAGGGCGATACTGGAGTTTAGGGCCTCAGGGGACTTATTACCTTCCCGGAGTCTGGCTTCAACCAGGAAACAATGAGGTGAATCTCCTGGGCACCCCCTCCCCCCAGCCTCCCTTCCACTTCCCTTGAACTCTGCTTTGCTCTCAGCATAAAAGCAAAAACCTGTCTTCCTCCCAACCTTCTTTTTCTTAATAGATCATCGTGTTTGAGGAGGTGAAAGCTGGCCCTGAAATCAAGTTCACAGATAGCGCTCATTTAGGTACGACATTCCAAAGGGTCATTGGTAGCATCTGGGACCAGTAATTTTTGGAACTTTTGCAAGTCTCTTCTGGCCCTGCCTCTCAGGAGTGAACACGTGACCCACAATGGGCCCATTGGTATTTCTTTTCCAGGCTTTTGAATTTTGATTAGAATGACAAAAAGAAGAAAATCAACTGAGCTGAGCCATGTCATCAGTGGCCCCTGGAGTCAGCTCCTCTCAGATGCAACAGCAAGGGTCCTGGCGCTGCCTCTCTGCTCATCTTCAAGCCGGCTGAGGATTAGTCAGCCATTCTTAACCTGCTAGAACGTTCTTCTTGTGGCTGAACTGAACTAACCTCTTGCTGATGTTTACAAAATATGTCTACCTAATAGTTCTCATATTGCTGCAATAAAAGTGATTTGATCCTCAAATAAAATGTTGATAAATGAGAAGAAACCCAAGTATTTGACCCCTGAAAAACAAATCAAAGTAAGCATGACCTAAGAAATCAAATCAAATACACAGGTTCACACAGACAATCTATAGATACTGTGCTTTTCCCTTTTATTCTACTTTATGATCAAGTGAAAATCATACCTCTTTAAGACTTAGGGCAACCATCTTAAGGCAACCTGTCCTCTGCCCCTCCTTACCCACTTCCTAGTGCCCATCTCTGGCCCCTGAGGCCAGCTCTTTTTCTGTTCCTGCCCCTCCTGTTGTTGGCCTTAGTCCTTTTCAGCCCCACTAGGGCCTTCAGGTGCCAGTTGTCAAAATGGCACCGATCCCACACGTTCGCACCACCAGGAGACCAGCCTCTCTTTTCCTTATCCGAACTCACCTTTGCAGAAAGCAGAGCGCAAGAGCCGGCAACATCATGTGGCATGACAAAGTATTTCTTCCTTTTGTGCATCCAAAGGCCTGAGGAGAACGGCAGGGCTGAGCCTGTCTTCAGGCTCTGGGACAGCATGCAGCCTTCATCGACTTCTTTAATGAGGAACTTAAAATTCTTCTCCACAATATCTCATCTTTCTTACACAACTCTCTTCCAAACTCCTCCTCGGACTTTCTCCTACGGGGTAAAGGGGAGCCAACTAGCCTACTTGTGCACTGCAACTAATTGTGAAGTGTTATATTTGTACCTTCTATCTTCCCCAGTATTGTGAGTGGACTCTGTTGCAGATGCAGCCAGTAAGGGATTCCGACTGTACTCGCGCGGTCTAGGTTCCGAGATAGTTCTTTGATTCTTGAGCAGCATTTATCCAGCCGAATATGTTTGAGTGCTGTCACACTCAGGTTTCTTTCAGATGACATTTCAATTGTCATGCCCCAAGACAAGCTCACTTGTAAACTCTAAACCATTACAACGAGTTTTTCTTTTCCTTTCTTATAAATTATTCCCTAGTTTTTACAGAGATAAATTTACCAGCAAGTTCAGTCAAAGCCATTACACAAGAAGAGAGACAAACACCTCCATTTTGTAGGGTACGAGCTCAAAGTGTTTCAATAGTTGATGTTTCTCTTGGATCTTTTGCAAATAAATTTTCTTTTTGGCATAAATAAATAAAACTAAAGAGCTAATATGAATGCTGTGGCTCTCAGGATATCTGTGAACTGTTCACTTGCTAGAATTTTCTTGGAAGTTTCTAAAGTATCTAGGGCAGCAGAGGAAAGATCCAACAGTAGTTGCATAGCTACTAAGTGCTATGAGCAGGCAGTCATTTATTTTGGAATTGTAACAGCACAACACTTCTTTCCTCTCTCAACTTGCAAACAGAATAATCATTACAATGCCTTTTGCATATGCATTTTACTTTGGAATGGAAACACATACAGCTTTTCCTTTATTTTAAATGTTTGTTAAAAAATAGAATAATCTGGTAGTTCTTCATTTTGATGTCCTAGTAGGAGCAGCTGACTTCCTCCTCCAGTTCAACTCTGGAGGTGCCCTGCAAGCCCGGTACCCTGCAAGGCCTAATCAACTGTCTGGAATTCTCAGGAGGAAAAAAATTATACAACCTGGTGGGTGAAGGAAACAGGTCCTGTGACAGAAAGTGCAGGTGCATGGCCAGAGGACAAGTCTGTGGGTGTCTGTGTGTGTGTGTGTGGGCGGGGGGGGGCCAGGGTAGTTCATGAGTGGGGCAATTTTCTCTTCCTTATTGCTCTGATAATCTTACTATTTCTATGAGCCAGAAAGAGAGCTCTGGGGTTAGAAAATGATAGGATCTTATTTTCAGAGTATTTACTTTCAGAGCACAACAGTCGATCCAGCACTTTTTAGTAGCCTGGGGATGCCTGGGCCAGGTGGGACTCTGAGTCTGAGTGCAAGTGACAAGGAGATGTCGGGAAGAGAAGATTCAAGCAGGAGAGCTGGTCCCTAACCTGTTGCCGCTTTGCTTCCCATAGGAGAGAGCTCCTGGAAAGAGCTGGTGGTGGGGTGAGGAATGAAAGAATTGGACTAGCCCAGTCTGCAGGCTTGCAAGCTCCCTTTCCCTTGCACCAACTGAAATCCAATGTTGACACCCCCACTCTGGGGTGCAGCTTCTTCAGTTGAGATGACTGGTACACTTAGAGGCCTACAGTCATTAGGAAAGGGGTACACCAATGAAACAACAGAGGAGACCACCTTGATAAAGCAGAAATATTGAGGGTGCAAAATATATGCAATAATTTATCCCTAAATAAATGAGAAATGGCATTGTAATTTTAATCCGGAAAAAGCACGAAGAAAGTGCGTAAACCCTAGTTCTGAAAAGAACTGGGAAAAAGAATAGAGTAGGTAGCATAAGTGACGGGAAAGATATCGTGGCTCTATAACTGAGTGAGCTGACAAATCAAGCTGATGGAATCTCCGAGAAGTTACGGTAGTGTTACTCTCAACTCTCCCTGCCATCGAGTTGACTCTGCCTATAGTGACCCTGTAGGACAGGGCAGAACTGCCTCATTGAGCTTCTGAGACTAACTCTTCATCGGAGTAGAAATTCTTTATGGGAGTAGAAAGCTTTGTCTGTTTCCCACAGAAGGGCTCATGATTTCGAACTGCAGATCTCATGGCTATCAGTCCGATGCATAACCGCTATTCCATCAGACATAAGGGGTTCAAGGCAGAGGAAAGGAAAAATGTGAAGAAATAATGATTGTTACCACCTCCAAATGTGGCATCTTTACTCTGGAGTGATTAAATCAGATCAATGAACATTCTGAGCTCAATGGAGAAATAGATAACTGAGTTTCTTAGAGGTCTGGCCCTTGGAAAACACTCTCAAAATAACCAGAACTGTATTTCAGTGTTTCATAGATTATACACTTTACAACGTTTTTGTACTTGGGTTTTTTTCCTTACATATGTTAACTAGTGATAACATACAGGTGCTGAAGTGTTCATGGAATGAGGCTCTTGTCTTTCACCAAGAGACAAGATCTAGAGGCAACACTGGACAATTTTGTAAGTGTCTGGGCGGGAACAGCCAAAGCAGTACAGTGCACGTACTGGCTTCTGGGCCCACACATGCACACCAGAGTTGTTAAGGGTTCCCACTGGGTCTGCGAGATTCTCCTGGTGTGTGTGAGATGCCTGTGGGCTGTATGAGATTTTGGGGAACTTCTATCCAAAATTACTTTGTTTCCATTAGTTAGCATAAGGCCCCAGGGTTTCTGGAACGTGCCAGATACAGTGCATAGGATGACGCCAGCTCCTGCCCTCCAACCAAACAGAGCTCCCTGCCATGGGGTTCATTCTGGCTCATGGCAGCCCTAGAGGACAGAATAGAGCTGCCTCTGTGAATTTCCATGATGATAACTCTCTATGGGAGTAGAAAGCCTCATTTTCCCTCCTTCTGAGGTAATGCCCAGGAAAATAACTTAAAGATTTCATGAAGAGAGAGAAGGTTTCCCTGAGCGCTCATTCTGTAAAGGAACCACTCTCCCTCTGTCTGGTCCAAGTCTCCCCATGTGTTCCCCTGCCTGGTCTCATTCTTCCCTGAGAGATGTGGTGCCACGATTATTTGTGGGATAAGGGGCAGATGTCTCTCTGCATCTCTGTACACGAAGGTGGAAATCTCTCCTAGTCTGCTCTACACACAGGAGCGTCAACACTGCTCTGAGGCGGTGAGTGGTTCACAGGCACAGGCCGACTCGTGGGCTCGGATCTTCAGTTCAAGGACATGCAGTGTCAGTGTGGGGCGTTCAGGGGATGGATCCTTCTTCTATTGGCTTATGCTGTGCAGTCTAGGTTCCCTCAGGATTGACTGGAGCTGTCGTTTCAGCAAATCTCTCAACAGTCACTTTACAAGTTGTCCTGGGCAGAAACACACATCCCTCCTCTAGTTCCTGAACGCTTCCTCCCCACCCAGCCTACCCCTACTACTATGACCCAGCTCTACCTTACAAAAATGGCTAGATCGGAGAACACGCATTGGTACAGCTAAGAGCTCTTGACACATGGAATTCAGGACAGATAACCCCTTCAGGAACAGTAGTGGGTGTAGCGATATCATGAGGGGAGGGGGATGGCTGGGGGGGCAGGGGAGGAGGAACCCATCACAAGATTGGATATATAGTAGAACCCGGGACCTTGATGCTAATCCATTCTAGAAGGAGCATCCAGATGCAATGCAGTTGAGTTCTGAATCAATTTTTCCCATAAGAAATAACAGAAAATGAATTAACCAGTTCTTGATCACCAAGTTTTTACCCTAACCTTGCCTTTTTATACAAAACTTTACACAGAAATTTCAAACTACGTAAGTTCAGGGTTGAATAATATAATTTAAATAAGAACAACAACATTAAAAAAGTTTTGTAACTACAGTATGGCACGTACCTTGAGATTGATGAGGATCTGGATCTGTGGGCACGGATGTGGAGAGGAGGTGTGGAGAGAGTCATTGTTTGGATTTTATCCCCTTCCATAAAATCAACTGGTAGCTGCTTTTCAGGAGTTTCCCCCCCTTCTTAGCCTTTTTTCACTAAGACCTAGATGGCTTTCTCAAAAAAAATAAAATAAAAATCTGTCTAATGTGGTCTGCTGTTTGCGTTTTCTTAACTGTTTTCTAAAAGGGTTTACTAAATTATCAACAATATTGATAACACGGTTAACCAGTTCCTTATCATGATGATTCTTTTCAAAAAACTCTTTCTTAGGACCTATGTATTTTAATCTAAAAACAATACAAAAACTACGAAAATTATAGTAAAACGCTTGGAACACAGTCGCAAAAAGTTTAAACAACATGTACTAACAACACCAACTAACGTCAAGTGACTGAAACACGAACTGCTTTTGTTCACAAAAGATCACATGCATTGGGTCGGATTCTGATGTTTTGTTCGAGCTCCAATGAAAAATGGTCTCGACGTTTCGCGTCAAAATTTGATTATGTGGAGTACTGATGTGCTCAAGTACTGGGATTCTACTGTATAGGCCCCC